TTTATTACAGGATATTTAATATAATTCCATCTGCTATACAGTAGGTTCTCCTTGTATATTGTATATATAGGAGTAAGTATCTGTTAATCCCAAACTCCAAATTTATCCCTCCCCTCTCTTTTCCCTTTTGGTAACCGTAAGTTTGTTTTCTATGTCTGGGTCTGTTTCTGTTTTGCAAATAAATTCATTTGTATCATTTTTGTTTAGATTCCACATATAAGTGGCATCATATATTTGTCTTTCTTAGTCTGACTTACTTCACTTAGTATGGTCATTTCTAGGTCCATCTGTGTTGCTGCAAATGGCATTATTTCATTCTTTTATGGCTGAGTACTATTCCATTGTGTATATATACCATATCTTCTTTATCTAGTCATCTGTTGATGGACATTTAGGTTGCTTCCATGTCTTGGCTGTTGTAAATAGTGCTGCTATGAACTTTGGGGTGCATGTACCTTTTCAAATTCGAGTTTTCATCTTTTCTGGATGCAGGCCTAGAAGTGGGATTGCTGGATCATCTGGTAACTCTATTTTTACTTTTTCATAGAGCCTCCATACTGTTCTCTATAGTGGCTGCACCAAATTACATTTCCACCAACCGTGTAAGAGAGTTCCCTTTTCTCCACACCCTCTCCAGCATTTATTATTTGTAGACTTTTTGATAATGGCCATTCTGACTGATGTTAGGTGGTACCTCATCGTGGTTTTGATTTGCATTTCTTTAATAATTAGTGATGTGGAGCATCTTTTTGTGTGCCTGTTGGCCATCTGTATGTCTTCTTTGGAGAAATGTCTATTTAGATCTTCTGCCCATTTTTTCATTGGGTTGTTTGGTTTTTGATACTGAGTTATATGAGCTGTTTGTATATTTTGGAAATTAATCCCTTGTCTGTGTTTTGTTGATGGTTTCCTTTGCTGTGCAAGAGTTTAATTAGGTCCCATTTGTTTATTTTTGCTTATATTTCTATTACTCTAGGAGACAGATCCAAAGAAATACTGCTCCAATTTATGTCAAAGAATGTTCTGCCTATGTTTTCCTCCAGGAATTTTGGAGTATCTGGTCTTATATTTAGGTCTTTAATCCATTTTGAGTTTATTTTCATATATGGTGTTAAAGAATTTCCTAATTTCATTCTTTTACATGTAGCATTCCAGTTTTCCCAGCACCACTTATTGAAGAGACTGTCTTTTCTCCATTGCATATTTTTGCCTCTGTTGTCACAGATTAATTGACCACAAGTACGTGGGTTTATTTCTGGGCTTTCTACCCTGTTCCTCTGATCTGTGTGTCTGTTTTTGTTCCAGCACACACTGTGTTGACTATTGTAGCTTTGTCGTATTAGTATAGCCTGAAGTCAGGGATCCTGATTCCTCCAGCTGCATTCTTCTTTCTCAAGATTGTTTATGCCGTGACATTTTAAAAGAAGGAAATAAATCAGCCCAGCCTTAAAATGAATGTGTCTTAGGATTTTTCCATCAAATCTGTTTTCTCAGATATGTCCTAAATGTTGAGTGTTTGAAAAATAGTACACTTGAAATCAGTGTTCAGAATCACCATTTGTGAATATCACTGTTGTGATCATTGCTCTGATTGTGCTCTCTTGCAGAGCGTTAGTATATTCAGTTTCAATCAGGATGTGCAGAAAATGTACACTTTCTTTGAAAATGGTAAAAATTTCATTGTCATAACTTAATAAATATAACATAATTAATAAACAATTCATTAAAAATATGCTTCTTACTTTTTACAGTAGTTGTATGGTAGAGATACTTTGCAAAAATAAAGAAGGTAGTCAGTATGGGAAACCTTTAGCCAGATTTCAAATCATAATCAGAAAAAAATCAACTGGAATAAAACTATGTGAACTCACTGTATTAGGATCTGTCTTCATGCATCATTTATCCTTTACTAGGCACATGACATCTCACACTACACCCAACCCATATGAGTATCTGGGATATGAAGAGAAGCCATATAAATGCAAGGAATGTGGGGAAGGCTTCAAGCATCATCAGTCCAGACATATGCATGAAAAGGTTCACGCTGGAGAGAAACCCTTTAATTGTAAGAAATGTGGGAAGGCCTTCAAGCTTCGCCAGTCCTAGAAGGCATGAAAGGATTCACACTGGAGAGGAACCCTATGAATGTAAAAGATGTGGAAAAGCCTTCAGGTATCACCACAACTTTCAAAAACATGAACAAACTCACAATGGAGAGAAACCCTATAGATGTAAGCAGTGTGGTAAAGCCCTCAGTTCTCTCAGATACTGTTGAATTCATGAAATAATGCACACTGGAGAAAAACCTTATAAATGTAAGCAATGTGGTAAAGCTTTCAATTGTCGCAGTTATTCCATAAAACATGAGAGAACTCATAGTAGATTGAAACCATATGAATGTAAGCAATGTGGTAAAGCCTTCAGTTGTGCCAGTTACATTCGAAGACATGAAAGGACACATACTAGAGAAAAGCCTTATGAATGTAAGGAGTGTGGTAAAGCTTTTAGTTGTTCAAGTTCCTTTCGAAAACATGAGAGAACCCATACCGGAGAGAAACCCTATGAATGTAAGCAATGTGGGAAAGCCTTCAGTTCTCTCACCAAATTTCAAAGACATGTAATGAAGCACACTGGAGATGGACCTTATGAATGTAAAGAGTGTGGGAAAGTCTTTCATTGTCCCAATTATTTTCATTGTCATGAAAGGACTCACAGTGGAGAAAATCCATATAAATGTAAGGAATGTGGTAAGGCCTTCAGTTTTCCTTGTTGTCGTCAAATACATGAAAGAAGTCATACTGAAGAGAGGCCCTATGAATGTAGGCAGTTTGGTAAAGCCTTCACTTACCTCAGTTCCATTCAAAAACATGAAAGAAGTCATAGTGGAGAGAAACCCTATGAATGTAAGGAATGTGAAAAAGCCTTCATTTATCCCTCAAATGTCCAAAGACACATGATAATGCATACTGGTGATGGACCTTGCACGTATAAAGAGTGTGGGAAAGCCTTTAAGTGTCCCAGTTCATTATGAACACATGAGAACACTCACTCTGGAGAGAAGCCCTACCAATGCAGAACTTGTAGTAAAGCCTTCAGTTGTCCAGTTATCTTCAAAACCATGAAAAAACTCATAATGGAGAATAGCATTATGAATATGAGGAATATTGGGAGGCGTTTATTCTAGATCATTCCAAATACGTAAAAGAGCCTTCGCTGGAGTTTGATAGCACAAGGGTTGGTTAGCAGTACTTGACAGGGGTGTTTCCAGTGAGGTTAAAAGAGAGTTCTTCTGGAGATGTCTTGAAATAAATGAAATCTCCATGTTGTAAGATGTGATCCTTAAGGTCTTCGTTTCCTGTGGGTACCCTGTGAAAAGACTGTTTTACCAAAACATGGTTACTTTTAATAGAAGCAGTTAAGCCTTTGCAACGTTGGAGTATCTCCCCTTTTATCAGTTGTCAGAAGAAGCTGTAGTCAAGTGCATTGTGTGTCCTGTGACTATCTCAAAGGGTGAGCGTTTATGAGGTCCAAGTGGGGTGCGTCTGAGATATGGAAGGACTAATGGCAATGTTTCTGGCCAAGGTATTTGTAGGGCCTCTACAAATTCTGCCAATTGAGTCTTAATTGCCATTCGTGCATTTGACTAAACCAGAGGATTGAGGGTCAGCACGGTGATAGTGTTGTAAAACCAGTCATACAGCAGAGACTTCGCAAACACCTGGCCAGTAAAGTGGGTTCCCTGATCACTGTGAAATTTGAGAGGAGTTCCCTGGTAGGGATAATCTTTCCAAAAAGGACTTGAGCCACTGCAAGGGAGGGCTTCAGTCCAGTGTCTAAACCTACAGACCATGACTAAAACGTGTTTCTATCCATTAGACCGAGGAAGTTGAGTGAAATCATTTGGCAGACCTCACATGGCCCATTAGGCAGTTTTAAATGTTCGGGAGCAGTACAGACATGCTTTCCTAGGCTATATTTTGTGGCTTTGTTACTGTTTCTCCAGCAATACTGATTTATGAAGGACATCATTTCATCAGTTGACCAGTGGCTTAGTACTTGTATGCTGGTGAGGAGTGGGAATTTTAGAATCTCTGGTAGGACTGGGTTGGTATTTGACCCAAACAAGAACTTTCTCTTTTTATCAGACCAAAAGTTACTGAATTTCTAATCTTGTTTTTCCTTTCCTGAGGCCAGTTGTTGGACCTCACCAGCCCATTTTCCTAAATAATTTGGGCAAATATCCCTTCGGTTATGACAGAGGTTTGGCTGCTGTAGATCCCTTTAAGTGCAGCATTCCTTGCAGAAATATCAGCAAGATGATTTCTCCCACCTTCAAGAGAGTCAAGTAAAAAATGCTTAGGAAGATGCAGAACTCTTTTTCAGGAGTTGATTTGCTCCACTCCTGAAATAAGTTGATTTGCAGACAACTAATTACATTTTATTTTTCTCCATCCTATCTAATAAATGTGATCAGACAATTTGGATTTTTTTCCTTTAAATTAAATTCCTTTTTTTGATGTAAAAAAAATGTTTAGGAATCTTAATAATAGCTGAAGTGGCAGGTGGAAGTAGTGCCTGAACATGGGGGCCATTTTAAACTTTATTTCCACTGGAAGGAAATAAACTAACTGGAGCACCGCTTGTAACTGAAGAGAGTCTTTTAGCCTTTTGTGGTAGGGGTATCCACATGAGGTGGCAAATTTGCAAGTAACAACAAAAATGGGCTCAGGTAAAACTTGTAAACAAGGAATATGTTGCCATCAGAACGTGAAAAAACCATTTAGGTGTTGCAGGTGCTGGTGGGGGTGGGGGGGAACAATAGCTATTTCTTTATGGTGTCTGGGAGGGAGGGGGCCTCAGCTTGTCAAATGATTTCCAGAAATTTGACAGAGTTGTCAGTTGACTCATATTATATGCATGGCCCTATCCAAAAGAACCACGTGGGAGTTTGCTCTGTCCTGCCCTGTGCACTGACTGCTCTAAATCCTTCTCAGTGGGAATCAGCACCTTCTTCATACCAGGCAGACTCCAGATTATTTCCTTCCAGCTGAGTGTAATCCCTGAATATGTTTTCCACTATGTCTGATTGTATGTGATTAAAAGTATGTGCTTTTTTTTCTCTAATGAGTGCTTTTGTAGTTTTTTTCTTAGAAATCTTTTTTTTTACCGTTTTCCAAGCACTGTATGCTAAGAAATATTACTGTGTTTTTCATGTCCTGAGAGTATGTATTAAAATATCCCATGTTAATGATGGATCTTCAGGTCAACTTTGTAATTTTCTTCATTTAGTCATTATACATTCCGAGTCCTCATACATGGATGGTACAAATGAAAAATAGTGCAGCCATTTTGGAAAACAGTCTGGCAGTTACTCAAAAATTAAACCTAGAATTGCCACATGATACATCAGTTTCTCTCCTACCTTTATGTTCAAGTGAAATAAAATACATATTCAAAAAAACTTGTACATGAATTTTTTAATTTTTAATTTTTGTTGAAGTATATTTGATTTACAGTGTTTCAGGTGTTCAGCAAAGTAATTCAGTTATACATAAATATATGTATTTTTCAGATTCTTTTCCATTATAGGTTATTACAAGATATTGAATATAGTTCCCTGTGCTATACAGTAGGTCTTTGTTTATTTTATATATGGTTGTATGTGTCTATTAATCCCAAATTTTGCCCTCCCCCACTTTCCCCTTTGGTAACCATAAGTTTGTTCTCTATGTCTATGGGTCTCTTTCTGTTCTGTAAATAAGTTTATTTGTGTCACTTTTTTAGATTCCACATATAAGTGATATATTTGTCTTTCTCTGACTTAGTAGGATAAGCTCTAGGTTCATCCATGTTCCTGCAAGTTTCATTATTTCATTCTTTTTATGGCTGAGTAGTATTCCATTGTGTATATATACCACAGTTTCTTTATTCATTCATCTGTCGATGGACATTTAGGTTGCTTCTGTGTGTTGGCTATCATAAATAGTGCTGCTGTGTACATTTGGGGTGCACATGTCTTTTCAAGTTAGAGTACATGAATTTTACACCAACATTATTCATAGTAGCCAAAGGTAGAAACATTCCAAATGTACATTAATGAATGACGAGATAAATGCAATGGGTTTTATCCATCCAGTGGAATATTATTTGGCCATAAAAATGAATGAAATTTTGATACATGCTACAACATGGCATTACCTTGGAAAATTATGCTAAGTGACTGAATTCAATCCCAAAGACCATATATTGTATTATTCCATTCTTATGAAAGCCTTGAGTAGGGAAATCTCAGTGAGAGATTAGTGGTTGTGTAGGCCTGGGAACTCGAGAAGGAAGTTGAGAGATGGTAAATGATAGCTAAAGAGCAATGGAGTTTCTTTTTGAGGGGAGGAAACTGTTCAGAAATTGGCTGTGGTGGTGATTGCATCAACCTGTGAAAATACTGATGCCATTGAGCAAGGGTTCGGGTGCCCACAGCACAGAAAGCCAAGCTCCGACAGCAGGTGTTTGGAGCAAAGTATGGGTTTTATCTTCAGGGTACCAAGTAAAGGAATGGGAGACAAGTCTCAGATCCACTCCAACTTGGTATTTGAGTTAGGGTTTGTTTTTTTTTTTTTAAGGGGAAAAACAAAGAGGCTGGGATTAATCATCATCTTGGGACATTTCTGTGACATTTCTTAATCATAGTTTTGGAAGTCCGGATGTCTCTAGGTTATGATTCTCAGCCCAGGTGGTCCATGACTTAGGGGTCTGTTACCTTATCTTGCCCTGGAGAAACGACCTGAGTTTGTACATTAATGATAATCTCCATAATAATAGCAATTTTAGTACATTAACAATGTTATTGACAACAGCAATTTTAGCCATCTGACTAGTTAATTTGTATTCAGTTAGTACAGGATTGAGGGGACAAGAAAGGGAACAAAGTTTTGGATAGAGTAATCATAAACTCAGTAAGGGAACTCTGTTTTAGGAGGACTCAGTTTCACTGAAAATCAGTGAGTTGTAGACATTAAAGGGGTCCATTGTATACTATGTGTGTTGTATCTCAAAAAGCGTTCAAATAAGTGAATAAATGCATTAAGAGTTTTGCAATGTGAAAGAGTTCTGCAGTTCAGGCACTTAGACATCTAAGGGTTTCCAGGTTATTTAACACATCCATCACCTCAAATTGTTATTGGGTGTGTATGTGCATGTGTGCGTGCGTGGAGAACTCAAAATCCACTCTAAGCAAATTTCATTCACACAATACAGTATTAAGTATCTCATCATATTGTCATCCTTAAATATAGACCATTTTTATTAGTCAATGATACTCAGCTTGTGGTTGGGGTAGTTTCCAGGTGCATCCCATATTTACATTATGATTTGTTTTTTGTTATATTAGTGAAAATAGGAATTCGTTTGCTTTAGGGACCTTATAGCTGTTTACATTTAAAAGTTCCCTAGGGACACATGCTAGCACTGATCTAAAATAAGTTTCCTTCCAGTGTAAAATGTGAATTTAATGAAACCTCGTGGTTTAATGACATATCTCATACCCTCAGCTTAGAGAAGAGTCCCTGCCCCCAGCTAGGGCTGCGGGGTTCAAACCCCACTGGAGCCCAGTGCTCTGGGATTCTTTCTCTTAAGTACCAAATGAGAGGGGGTGGGGAAGTGATGGGTAGAAGGCTCAACGCTGCCAGATTTCAAAGATTAAAATGGAGCCTGCCTCTATTACAGATAGTGATATCACCTTTAAGTTTCTAAACAAGGGTCACAGTTCCAGGAGTGGCTTCACAGCCTAATACCAAGCCCTCTTGTTGCAGTCTGTCCTGGTCTGAGCACCCTCTTGTTTATACTTGCGTCATCTTGAAACTGAATCAGGAATTCCCTGTGCACACCTGTGACCTCGCGTTCGGACCACGCTGCGTGGAAGACTAGAGAGTCAGCCCTAGGACAGGAACAAATTCCGTTTAAATGCGAACGTTCCCGCGGGGACAAGTTGCGGCCAACGGCTGAAGCCAGTTCGCCTGAGCCTTGCGTCCTCCCGCCCCGCTGTCACTCAGGCACGAGGGGGCGCGTTGGAAACTGTCCATTCGGGGGCGTCGCTGGGCCCGGTGGGTGGGGCGACGGGCCTCAGGGGGCGGGGGCGTAGCTAGTCGCGTGGGCGTGGCTCTGGATACTGAGCGTCTGCGCCTGAAGGTCTATTTCCTGCGCCGCAGGCTCTGTCGAGCTGTGACCTGCACTGGTCTTGGGAGTCGTAGGGAGCATTCAGGGAGACCCAGGAAACCTAGAAATGGTGAGTGTGCTTCCCCGTGTGGGTGCGGAGACGGAGAAGAGAGGCCGA